AGAGCTAATTATAGGGAGAGACGCAAAGACACCTCAAATTCTACCAATCCTTCCCATATAAAGTCTGCCAGGGTAAATTTGACCTGCATTAGTCACTTACCCTGTTCCAAGTTAGTTTTTTTTTAGCACTTAATGATTTTTTTGAGGTACTTTAATACTGCCCTCTACTGTCCTTTCGTCTAATTTGCTGATAAACTCCTGAGGGCAGAAAGTGTCTTGTGTGCCTCTTGTATCGTCTCTTGTGCACAGCACTTAAATAGAGGTGCACACAGCTCTCTGCTCTCAAGTAAGATGAATTCAGTAACTGTCCACCTCTGCCGTGAAGAATGAGCTGGTGGAGCCAAACTGTTGGGATGCACTTTCTGTACTGCCCACACACTCTATATGGGAACCTTCCGATCCACTGCTTCCCAGCGTGCACCTTAGGGTCAGATTCTTGTCATCTTTGTCCTGCCACAGGATCCCAGACTCTTCTGCTGCCTTGGGTGGATGGCTGAGTGTTTTTCTGAGAAGCCCCGCCCAGTGTGAGCTTCTAATTGGATTGAGCAGGTAATCTTTCTGAGTGCTGAAGTATTTCAGCCAGATGTCCCCTTCTCCAAATAGGGTCCTTTGTCCCTCCCGGAGGCTCATGGAAACATGAGCTGCCCATCTGTCTTTGGGCCCAGGTTTCTCATGTTGCAACAGGATTGTTAAGGACACCAAAGGGATTTTAATTTTTATACAGAAAAGATCCACAGAGGTGGGGAAGGCTGGTAGGAAGTAAACAAGATGAATTTTATTCTGGAAAAAAGCTGGTAGAATTTGTACATGTGGGAGGCAAAATGATTTAGTGCAAGGAGACACTTGAAGACCTGTAGTTCTAGAAGGAATAGGTGAGAGACTAATGGAATTTGCCCTTGCTTTGTGATAAGGGGGACAAAAAATCACCATGAAATTCTGGGTGGAAAGCACACTTAACTGTGTACAGTTGAGCTCAGCAAGTATTTATTTAACATCTGGTATTTGTTCATCACCTTGTCAGGTTTGTGGACAAATAAAGTGTAAGGTCTGTCTTCTCTGAGCTCAGTGTTTCCCAGTGCTGAGCACGTGCTAGGCAGAATTTATAAGTGTGGATGGAGCAGACTGCAGCCTTGATGGGGAGAGATTTGTCCTCTGGGACAGAGGCTGGGTGTTGACATTAAGTGATACTGGAGTTCAGATAAGGGAGAGAGCCCTGCTGCCAGAGTGGTTAGAGGTGATTTCCCAGAGAGGTAGGACTTAAAGGGTGTGGATGGGGATGGGAGCATGACCTAGGGTTTAGGTGTGAGGGAAAGGGAAGCTCCCTGTCAGAAAGAGGAATTTGGACTTGAGTCTCTAGACTAGGGAAGTGTCTCATGCCTTGACTGTTTTGCAAGTACCTTATAGTCTATAAGAACTAAGGAATATTCATTGTGTACACATCACCATGTGCCCAGACTGCCACACTGAGAATTGCATTGTCATCCTCAGACCTGTCTTTTTCTCGTGTGCTCTGATCAGCTGATCATGGTGGTGCAGTGAATTGTTTAATGTGTCTCTTCTAGCCATGGTCTTTGTGACTCCTACCAAATGATTGGTGGGACTATGCAAATGTGAAGTTCTTATGGTCCACCAAGGGGATTGTGTAGCTTGTTAACAATATAAATAACCATGGTACACTGTGGAGGCAAGACCACAGAAATAAAGTGTATGGAACTTTAATGTGAGGATTGGTCAGTTTTGTCATTCTGCTCGGCTTAAAATGAGTCATCCTAGAGGTGGAAGGGGGGAATCTCACCACCATCAAGACAGAAGAACAACCAAGAGTGCAGTGCATCCTAGGACCCAAGATCCCTGTGCTGAGACAGCAGAGAGACAGCAGCAGCAGGGGCAGCAGAACCAAGAGACCAGCATGAGACAGAGTAGTGGGCTCACCAGCCTACAGAGCAAGTGCCTTTGAACAGGAGGTTTGCTGGTGGAGTAGAGGAGTATAGCTATTGGCTGAGCTAAAACAGCTTTGTAATACTTGTCTGAGCAGGACAGAGGCCAGGCCAGGGGATCAAGGGCCAAAGAGAGGTGTGCCTGCAGGCATGGCTGAGAGGAGGCTGTCCTGATTGAAGAATCATATCCTGAGCATTTCTGAACCTGAATTGTAGCTTGTCACTTCCCTAAATAAACCCCATGGTTGTGAATGTTGTCTGTGAGTTCTTTGTGGCCACTGCGAGAAATTATTGAACCCAGCAGAGAAGTAGAGAGTGCTGTGGGAGAGATGGTTGGTGTCAGAATTGGCAAAAAAGTTTGAAGGGGCAGCATGTCTGACTACCACCTCATAGGAATCAGCTCGGGGTGTTGTTCTGGATACCCCTCCCCCTTGTGAAGTTAGAAGAGGTTGGATCCTGTCCCCACATCCTTTTTGCATTCATTAAGCGTAGAGGGTCTCCCTCATCTGATTGGCACAACTCTGCTGTTAATTTTTCCTTGCCCCTTGTAATCTGCATAGTCCCTCCCTCCTCTGATTCTTCATTCTCCTTCTTGCCCAAACTATATTTTTAAGCCTCAAATATGGTCATGTAACTCCTTTGGTTAAAAACTCCTGGTGATTTTTCACTGCCTACAGGACAAAGACTAAAAGATTTCATCCCCTTCATAGGCTGGCCCCATTTTCTTTTTCTAGATGTGTTCTAGGTCTAGGTGACCATCTAGGAGAAGTGGTTTGGACAGTAGAGTATTTAAAGTTTTCATAGTTCATGGGCATAATGGAATAGACTATTTAAACACATTTGAAACATATCCCAAATGTACTTCCTCTTATTAACCATCCATAGCTGCAGTGTGGAAAAAGCATTTATATTTATAATGATGATCCCGTGTCACCAAGGAAAAGTTAAAACATGTTTAGTAATTCTTTTTCTAAAAGGCAGGTCCCTGGGTCACACAAGGTGTTTGCTCAATGACTAACCTAAGGCTGGTGGGTCAAACCCACCCCGTGGCACTGCAGAATAAAGTCCTGGCAGTCTGTTTCCATAAAGATTATATAGCCAAGAAACCTTATGGAGCACTTCTCTTCTAACCCGTGGGGTTGCCATGAGTCAGGATTGACTTGATGGCAGTGGGTATTTTAAAAGGCAGAAAGATGACATCTTTGGGTAGGCTTTCCACCAAAAAATAAATGCAATGCAAAGCATGATCATAAGAACCTTTACTTAAGATCCTGTCAGGAAAGCATGACTTGCCCAAGGTAAGCCAGGAAGATCAGGATAATCATTCACCAGGCTCTGGCTTTGCCAGAGGAGGCTCAATAGCTACGGGGCAGCTCTAGGCTTTTGGTGAGGGAGAGCTGGGGTCACCCTCCTATGGCTGCCCAGCCTGGCTTTGGGGCCCACATATACCTTTCCTTTGTTGGGTCATAGTGGTTTGAATGACATTTCTTGGAAATTGAGGCAGGTTCTTTTTGGATGAGAACATGGAAGATAAGAAGCCAGCCGAGACACATTTTGGAGGAGCTGGCTGCCCTGAGCGTGTTTTAGAGATAGGAGCAAAAAAGTCATCGTATGTCCATGGAGTAAAATGGGAGGTAGAAGAACAGTGAAGAGTGTGAAGGCCCTTAGGCGGATCAAAGGGAGAACAGATCTCTTGGGTTAGGAGTTCTTGCAACAGTGATAGCATTTTTAAAGGGAGGGGGGCAAAAAACCAAACTCACTGCTGTCCAGTCAGTTCTGACTCATAGTGACCCCCCTTTGGGTTTCCAAGGTGGTATCTCTGTGGAAGTAGATTGCCTGGTCATCGAGGAAGGGCCATTATAGGCAAGCCAGAAAGAGACAAAAGACCACATGAGCAGAAGATTGCTCATTTGAATGCTGTCATGATTATTACCTTCTCCAGTGACCCCACACCCCCAGTGGTACATTCAGCTGTGGGGAGTAATGAAGAGGGACTACAGCTTGGTTCTGGGTGCAGTGTGGACACGGCAGACATTTGCAGCAGGCGATGCTGCCAGGATTAGTGGTTTGCGGAGCTGTTTCTCCCATGAAGGGGATGAGATCACCTCCTTCCCCAGTCTCCTGAGCGGGTGGGGTAGAAGGTGGGAAGGGAGGTAGTACTGCCTGACAGAGTGGGAGGCTGTCAGGATTACCGCACCGTTGTGTTTCTCTGTTTATTAATCCTCATGTGGAGGAGCAGGTTGCCCAAGAAGCTAGAATCGTGTATTAGATCTGGGGTGTTCTGCCACCTATAAAAAAAAAACGGCTGAACCTTGGTAGCCAGTGAGGTTGTGTTGCCAGTTCTTCCTGAAGTCAGGCCTTTGGTGCAAGGGAAAACAAAGCTGCAGGAAACCTGGAACTTTCCTTCACCTTCTTGAAAATGCAAGTCATGTTGCCTAGGAAATACTTCCTTCACCAAGGGTTCAGCACACCACCAGCATTGGAGCTATGGAGGAGGCAGCTGAAGTTATTCCAAGAAAATGCTAGCAAGTTGGTAATAAAAGGAAGTGGCCTATCTCCCCAGCCCCAAGGCTGGGTTTCTAGGAGCTGTAGCTGTGCACATGGCCAAAAGGAAGTCGTGCTTTACTTTGGAGTTATTGACGTGCTGGGCTCGTGGACATGCTGGCTGTGTCTCCAGCAGTGCTGGGTGAGCAAGCGAGCACTTGTGCCGTGCGCAAAGATTAGTAGTGCTGAATGCAGTGTGATGAGTGAGGATGCCAATTGGTGGGACGAGTGTAGATAAACAAAAGCCAATATATTATATACAGAGTGTTCCGCCTGCAGAAGTTCCCCAAGTCTGCTGCTAGACTGAAGACTACCCTGGCAGCCTCTCCCAGGCTGGCTCAGAAGCAAAGGGGAAGCCTTGAAAGTGAGGGCAGAAGGGTGACATTCTCCCCTCCCCCAGGCTTCTCCCCAGTTAATTAGGAAGACGATTTCAAAGCAGTTGCTTCTAATGTGACCTAACAGTCTGGCAAAGGTGAAACTGCTTTAGTAGGAGGTGAAGGTGTGCCTGTGAACACAGCGATGGAGAAGGCTAGGCATGAGAGGCCCCGGAGCCCTGAGCAGTCTGTTCTGGCAACTCTGAGTGATTCCCATGTGACCCTCCTGGCCGCCCACAAGCGGTGGTCTTTGAGGAGTCCTGGGGCCAGGGGCTCACCTATGTCAGCATCTTTGGAGGAGGAAGTCTCTTCACCATCAGAGGAAGAAGAATTTCCACAGCGGGGTTTGAATGGAGCACAAGAAATCAGTTCCAATCAGGTTAGTGCAACTGCAAAAGAGTTAGAAAGCCACGAGGTGGTCAGATGCAGTTTATAAATTGGATTTCTCACCGTGTTTTATGTATGCGGTCAGGGGAGCCAGCCTGGATGTTTGGTTGGGAGTAGGGAGCAAGTGTATGAATACAGCACCAGGCAGGAGTCAAAGTCAGCTTCTCCAGAGATTAATTCCTCTTGGACGATGTTTGGATTTTGTTGCTTCATGTTTTCAGAATATTTTGTAAGCCTCCATGGAGCAAACATTTTCCAAAACACAAGCCACACAAAATTGGGTCTCCCCTCTCCTTTTCAAAAGTGTGTATGTATCTTATTCTGTTAATTTCTACATTAAACATTTTGATGTTAGATTTTAATGTTGCTGCAAAATGAAGTTGCAGATAAGTTTTGTTAACCCAAAGGTCAGGTCATGTAGGTATGAAAATTTGTAAAAATGGTACCTTTCAGTAGCGTTTCTACTTGGGACTAGTGATCTGCTTGAAGCCTTTTTCATTGACATAGCTAGACCTGGCAAGGGGGGATTACTTTGAAAGGAGTTCTATTGGAGACAAAGGAAAGTTTTTATAAGTACTTTCCCCCTTTAAGACTTTTTTTTGTTTCTTTTGGTCTAAAAACTAGGGGAAATTTTATGAAATGTACTATGCAAAGGATTTTCATTTGTTGAAGTCATGTGGTACTTGGATATTAAAAATATAAATTCTTTCAGTGTTCAAAGACTGCATTTTGCAGTCCGATTTTTAACTAGGATTATACTCTGAGATATTTATTTTACCACATTAAAAATGTTATTTGGTGTGCTGTATTTGTAGAACATTCCAACAGACTCATTTGAAAATTCTTCCCAGACAAATTTAATAGCAGGAAGCATAGAATCATTCAATGGCTGCCACTTTGGGTCAATTTTATCCAGAGTGGAGATTAGGGTGTATTTTTCTGGGGGTAGGGGGTGAGGTGATAAATATAAGCTTAGTAAATTTTAATTACTTTGTTTTTCCAAACAGTTTTATAATTTTTATATTATTTTTCTTTGAAGTGTAACACACCAGTAGCTAAACTGACCTGTGTTAAAAGATTTAAAGTCTTAAAGAGTGACAGAGCGTATGGTGCCCATTTTTGAAACGTCATGCTCAACTTTCATATTTTTAACTGAGTATTTAACATAGCAAAATATTATATTTTGGAGAAAATTCTTGAGAGCATTTTCTTTAAAATATTCAAACTTTATCATTACTTTACAAATTCCACCTTCTCTGAGTTTTTTGCATGTGAAATACTCTGTTGTTGTTGTTGTTGTTGTTTGCCATCGAGTCGGCCCTGACTCATAGCGACCTCTCCTTGGGTTTCCGAGGCAGTATCACTACGGAAGTAGGAATGCCCAACCTTCCTTCCGAGGAGTGGCTGGTGGGTTTGAACCGCCAGCCTTCTGGTTAGCAGTCAAGTGACTTAGCCACTATGCTACCAGAGATATATACTCTAGTAATTTTTAATAGTCTAGTCTCTTATAACTAAGCAAATAGCGGAACATGGCTCAGAGGAACCCCTTCAGAAGGCGGGCCTGGGCAGAGGCCATTGCTGCATGGTTGGCGGGTTGCGGTACAGATTCCTGCTGTGTTGTCACGGGCTATGAACCTGGGCAAGTGTGTCTTTTACCCCTCAAGCTACATAGTCCACCTTGCAACGGAATTAACAAACTCAACAGAATTAACCAAGACAGATAAAGCGGGATGCAAAGCGGGATGATAACTCTTGCCTCATGGGATTATGAGAGCACTTTGTACTCTGTAGAGTACTATGTTGTTGTTGTTGTCAGGTGCTGTTGAGTCGGCTCTGACTCATAGCAACCTTATGTGCAACAGAACAAAACAATACCCTGTCCCACACCATCATCATAATCCTTGCTATGCTTGAGCCCGTTGTTCCAGCCACTGTGTCAAACCATCTTGTTAAGTGTCTTCCCCTTTTTTGCTGGGCTTCTACATAGAGTACTATACAAATTGCAAAATGGTAGTATTTCTGCCACAGTTGGTATAGAATTCCCAACTCTGACATCTGCTTAGTGCTCTTTGGAAGTCTGAATAGGACTGTGTGTCTAGTCATTTGTCTACGCAAAGTTGCAGCTCTATTTTTTTTTTAAAGCTCTGATTACAGGAATATCATATGGTCATTGTAAAACACAAAACTAAGATGGGTGAGGGGAATACAGTAAACTATAAAGAAACAGTAAAAGCAACCATAAATCTCCAGCCATTTTCTCCCCACACGCATTTATGTTTATGGATTTGTATGTGTGTGTGCACGCATATGTATATATTATTGCGTATAATGTAAATGGGGGTCAGAGTGTATATACTCCTATATACTTTGCATTGTTTACTTAATATTTTATGGATATTTTTCCATGCCAATATATATAGATCTGTATCATCATTTTTGATGGCAGTCCCACTTTTAAATTTAGAATTATTTTCAGAAGGAATTTAAATTAATTATCTTCAAATAGGGGATATTTTAGTAACTGGCTTATGATTATAAAAATCAAACTAAAAGTCAATTACAATTGAGTACTTGCTCACTGTAACATTTTATTGAGTTAGTCTGTTATAAATCAAGCTTTGGAACCTTAGAGAGCAGTGAATTTATATTGATGGGGGATGAACAACTCAGAAAAGGAGAGTAAGAATGGTTATACAACTCGAATATAATCAGTGTCACTAAATGGTACATGTAGAAACTGTTGAATTGGTCTGTTTTGCTGTGTGTATGTTCAACAACAAAATAAAATTACATATAATCAAACTTTGGAGGCTTGTGAGAGCTAATACTTTCTAGCACAAGGGGAGCAGTGGTGGTTCAGTGGTACAATTCTCGCCTTCCATGCAGGAGACCCAGGTTCATTTCCTGGCCAGTAACTCAAGCACAGCTACCACCCATCTGTCGTGGGAGGCTTGAATGTAACTATGGCACTGAACAGGTTTTAGCAGAGCTTCCAGACCAAGACAGACTAGGAAGAAAGGCCTAGTGATCTACTTCTGAAAAATCAGCCATTGAAAACCCTATGCAGCACAGTTACACTCTGACACACAGGAGGTTGCCATCAATCGGGGTTGACTCCACGACAACTGGTTTGGTTTTGGTTTATGTGGTAGGTTCTTGCTTGTGTCGTTTTAACAACCTGAGGAGGTAACCCCTTTAACAGATGAGAAAGCTGATATACAACGCAACCACTGCCGTGGAGTCGGATCCGACTCATAGCAACCCCTCCTTGAGTTTCCAAGGCAGTATTACTATGGAAGTAGATTGCCCAACCTTCCTTCTGAGGAGTGGCTAGTGGGTTTAGATAATTTGTCTAAAGGATTTAATCCCAGGCCTGTCTAACCATATGCACCTTGCTGTTCTATTGGGGCAAAGAAATATTATTTAATATACTGGGTGAGGTAGAGTTCTGATGATATCTGAGTATTGGAAAACTGCTTATTTATGTGGAAAGTTAGCTATCATGTGGCACTACATTCATAGCAGACACAGGTAGCTGCTATTAATAAAAATTTAAAATTACTGTTAGTGAAGTTTGCTTACATTTTACATTTCTTATACAGTGCAGAGTACAGTATTCTGTACAATAAAGAATGAAATCATGCCTTTGAACATATTATTTCTGTGACATTTTGGACAGATAGAAAAAAAAAATGTGTTTTTTTAAAGCATAACTGGTAAAAGTACAAAGTTTGTGTGAGCAAGCTCAGTAGGATTAATCAAGACAAATAAAGATCCTAGGCATTTAGTTGTGGAGATGGAAAGGATAGGAAGGAGGGCATGTACCTCCCTTGCCCCCAGGAGAGCAAGCAACCAAGAGTAGAAGGCAGGGTCTCAGTGCTCTGGCCGGGGTGTTGTGCTCAGGGCTTTCCTGTTGCCTGTAGTCTTCCTTCAGACTAGGATACCAGATTAGGAAAGAAGTAGGCATCTGTCTCTCAGAATCCCCTTCTAGACCCTCCCTCTCTCTTCCTCACTTCTCAGTGTATCTGATAGTGGGGAAGGAAATAATGTTGAAGGTTACCCGGAACTTGTTCAAATTGGTAAATGTCAAGAATTCCCCTTTGTTTTAGAAACTGCGCAGTCCTCCTTGCCCTTGGTCCTAATGACTTCTCTTGGCTACTGATTTTATTTGACTCTGTATCCCTTATCTGTCTATCAGTCCACAGTATCAAGCTATCAAATGAGTGACATGAATGAATTGGAAGTGGGTTTATATTGCAGACGTACTGAGCCCATGATGACTGTGAGGTGGTTAGGTTGTGATCTTACCATTGTTCGAAAGCAGGATACCAAATTGTATCTTGCATGAGAAGTTAGGTGGGGTTTATTTTTGTCCAAATGAAATCAAGATGACCCAGCTAGTACAGGTATGTTGTTGTTATTTTTAGGTGCTGTCATGTTGGTTCCAACTCATAGCGACCCCTATGTACAACAGAGCAAAACACTGTCTTGTTCTGGTCACCATTACAGTTGTTGCTATATTTGAGCCCATTGTTGCAACCCACATGTCAACCCGTCTCATTGAGGGTCTTCCTTTTTTTCCCCTGACCTCTACTTTACCAAGGGGCTCTGGTAGCATAGTGCCTAAAGCACTTGACTGCTAACCAGAAGGATGGCTGTTCAAACCCACCAGCCACTCCTTGGAAGGAAGATTGGGCAATCTACTTCCGTACTGATACTGCCTCAGAAACCCAAGGAGGGGTCGCTATGAGTCGGGTCTGCTTGACGGTGCCTAACAACAACAACAACTACTTTACCGAGCATGATCTCCTTCTCCAGGTCCCTCCTGATAACATGTCCAAAGTATACGAGACAAAATCTTGACATCCTCACTTCTAAGGAGCATTCTGGCTATACAGCTTCCAAAACAGATTTGTTCATTCTTCTGGCAGTCTATGGCATATTTAATAATCTTTACCAACATTGTAATTCAAAGGCATCAACTCTTCTTTG